ACTATAATATATGGTGAAGTTCCCGCTTGAACACTTTCCACTTCACTCTATCAGAAACTGGACTTAACTTTTGATTCTTTGACCTATCCTGGGTTCCCAAAATACAGATAATTTCTTCTCTCTGTTTGATGTTTAAATAAACCCACTCCTCGGGGCAGGAGCCTTAAGGGGTCGTTGACCTTTGCTTGAACCTGTGCTCTCCATCCATGGTGTGCGGGATGACAGGTGACAATAATTAATCACCCTGGACACTGGATAGCCCGGTGTACATTACTCTGAGGTAATGGATACCCCCAGTTTAGGTTACTGTTATTCTAAGATAGGCCAATAGGATGGGATCTAGGAAACATGAGATACTGACTAGGGGGCGGAGTTTCCAGTCTCTTTCTCGCAAACTCCAGTCCCAAACCTCAGTCCGGCTGAAGGTGTGTGATGGAACAGACGTGTTCTCTGATGCGATGATCTAATAGTCTTGAAAATAGGACCATTCCCGTGGCTTCTGAGGAAACCTTCCCCAGTAAACCTTCGGAATTCCACCGACAGAATCAGGTTAGTATTACTTTGTTGGGTAACTTGAATGTGTGCACACAAATGATGTAAGACATGTTAGGCCAATATGTTTCAGAACGTTCACTTGTAGGTTATTTTGTACTGATTTGTCCATGAAACTATTTGCCCTTATAGATAGCAAAAGGTATCTTACTAAAGGGCCAAAATCTCTATATTCTCAAATGTTTTGTGTACTTTCCTATATGTTCACAATAATAATGCTCTACAGCCTTCTTTAGTTTATAGACCCTATCAATTGCAAGCAAATGAACGACTCACTGTTTTCAACCAAGTGGAAAGTGTAAAAATCTCTGAATTCGTAAAACCCATTAACCTTTGGTACACCTTCCTATATGTTTGGATAGTCGGGGCGAGCGGGGGACCAGATCGGACAGGAATGGCCGGCGAGCAGAGAGCAGGCGGATGGCCGAGCGGGCAGCCGGGCGGGCGGACAGTACCCCCAGCCGTAGAGGTACAGAGGAACCACGAAGGACAGGTTAAAGCTATTGAAAAGGTATGTTTTAAATTAATGTTACTTCCTATGTTGAAATATGCCATAATCGTATCAGTGTAAATTTTGCTATCACAGCCGTGTTTTTGCAGTGTCACATGTCTATTTGTTAAGTGTTTTACTTGACTGTGGACTGAACAAATCTACATCTTGTTATATCCTGAACTTGCTGGGCGGGTTGATCACCCGTCACCGTATACGTAGAGAAATTTTTGGGAAGTTTGCCTTTGTCTGGCTACCAGGCTACTAGTATCTTGACCGACAGTCGCCCGTATTTCATAACAGTTCCTTGACCCACTTGCTATTTTCTCGTGTACTAGTATGTGCTTTGTACTCTGTATACGAATGTGAAGTAAACTTTCGTCTACTTCTGTTTGAAATTCTTGGTATTTTTCAAGCAGACTTTTTTTTAGTATTTCTTACATTTTTTTCTTATGTTATTCTGGTGTTCTTGGATCTCGCTATGTTGTTGTGTCCCGGGTATTTCCTTATTGTGGTTTTTAAATTGGGTC